TGGCCAACCTCATGGTGGTCCTGTGGTTTAAAGCGTCATGTGGTTCTAACTTACCATGAGGCAGGCCAGTACAACATGGGTTCGAGTCCTTGGCTAGCGCAGTGTTGTTATTGATATATATAACATATATATATAAAGTTGTTTTTGCTCACGGATGCTAGGTATTCTCAAGGATCTCAGTAACTGAGATGAAGCAGTGACAAAGGTTATAGAGCGACAATTTAGAGTGGTAACAATAAAATTGAGCAATTCATCAAGAACGCACAATAGGACGTGAAAGATCATGCACCTTCCACACATTCCTTGGAAATTGTTCAGTGGAGACACTTCCTGTAGGAGTTTTACACTAGCTGGTGACGCAAGATGCAGTGACAACTGTCTGTAGTAGTAGTAATAATAATAATCATCCTTCATTACTGCATTCTAGCCTCACTAGATTATAAGTTAAGTTAAATATAGCTGTTTGAAAATCTAATATATAGAAGAGAGCGCAAGGGACTAGTTGCCTAAATACACGATTCATAATAAAAAAATATTCAGAATAATAATAAAAAAGTCAAGTTTCTCCTAAATTACCCTAAAGTAATATAACCTGATCGACGGGAGTTTCATCTAGTCTACGTCCAAAATGAGATAAATTACCAACTGTCTTTAAGGGAACTTTATGAGCTGCTCTAGGCTGCTCTTGTTTGTCAGGCTACAGTGCTTGTGTTCATCTGCGTGCAACATCAACCTGACTGACCAGCAGTCCTACGAGCAACATCAACCTGACTGACCAGCAGTCCTACGAGCAACATCAACCTGACTGACCAGCAGTCCTACGAGCAACATCAACCTGACTGACCAGGCAGTCCTACGAGCAACATCAACCTGACTGACCAGGCAGTCCTACGAGCAACATCAACCTGACTGACCAGCAGTCCTACGAGCAACATCAACCTGACTGACCAGCAGTCCTACGAGCAACATCAACCTGACTGACCAGCAGTCCTACGAGCAACATCAACCTGACTGACCAGCAGTCCTACGAGCAACATCAACCTGACTGACCAGCAGTCCTACGAGCAACATCAACCTGACTGACCAGCAGTCCTACGAGCAACATCAACCTGACTGACCAGCAGTCCTACGAGCAACATCAACCTGACTGACCAGCAGTCCTACGAGCAACATCAACCTGACTGACCAGCAGTCCTACGAGCAACATCAACCTGACTGACCAGCAGTCCTACGAGCAACATCAACCTGACTGACCAGCAGTCCTACGAGCAACATCAACCTGACTGACCAGCAGTCCTACGAGCAACATCAACCTGACTGACCAGCAGTCCTACGAGCAACATCAACCTGACTGACCAGCAGTCCTACGAGCAACATCAACCTGACTGACCAGCAGTCCTACGAGCAACATCAACCTGACTGACCAGCAGTCCTACGAGCAACATCAACCTGACTGACCAGCAGTCCTACGAGCAACATCAACCTGACTGACCAGGCAGTCTACGAGCAACATCAACCTGACTGACCAGCAGTCCTACGAGCAACATCAACCTGACTGACCAGGCAGACCTACGAGCAAAATCAACCTGACTGACCAGCAGTCCTACGAGCAACATCAACCTGACTGACCAGCAGTCCTACGAGCAACATCAACCTGACTGACCAGCAGTCCTACGAGCAACATCAACCTGACTGACCAGGCAGTCCTACGAGCAACATCAACCTGACTGACCAGCAGTCCTACGAGCAACATCAACCTGACTGACCAGCAGTCCTACAAGCAACATCAACCTGACTGACCAGGCAGTCCTACGAGCAACATCAACCTGACTGACCAGCAGTCCTACGAGCAACATCAACCTGACTGACCAGCAGTCCTACAAGCAACATCAACCTGACTGACCAGCAGTCCTACGAGCAACATCAACCTGACTGACCAGCAGTCCTACGAGCAACATCAACCTGACTGACCAGCAGTCCTACGAGCAACATCAACCTGACTGACCAGCAGTCCTACGAGCAACATCAACCTGACTGACCAGCAGTCCTACGAGCAACATCAACCTGACTGACCAGGCAGTCCTACGAGCAACATCAACCTGACTGACCAGCAGTCCTACGAGCAACATCAACCTGACTGACCAGGCAGTCCTACGAGCAACATCAACCTGACTGCCCAGCAGTCCTACGAGCAACATCAACCTGACTGACCAGGCAGACCTACGAGCAACATCAACCTGACTGACCAGGCAGTCCTACGAGCAACATCAACCTGACTGACCAGCAGTCCTACGAGCAACATCAACCTGACTGACCAGCAGTCCTACGAGCAACATCAACCTGACTGACCAGGCAGACCTACGAGCAACATCAACCTGACTGACCAGGCAGACCTACGAGCAACATCAACCTGACTGACCAGGCAGACCTACGAGCAACATCAACCTGACTGACCAGGCAGACCTACGAGTAACATCAACCTGACTGACCAGGCAGACCTACGAGCAACATCAACCTGACTGACCAGGCAGTCCTACGAGCAACATCAACCTGACTGACCAGCAGTCCTACGAGCAACATCAACCTGACTGACCAGGCAGTCCTACGAGCAACATCAACCTGACTGACCAGGCAGTCCTACGAGCAACATCAACCTGACTGACCAGGCAGTCCTACGAGCAACATCAACCTGACTGACCAGCAGTCCTACGAGCAACATCAACCTGACTGACCAGGCAGTCCTACGAGCAACATCAACCTGACTGCCCAGCAGTCCTACGAGCAACATCAACCTGACTGACCAGGCAGACCTACGAGCAACATCAACCTGACTGACCAGGCAGTCCTACGAGCAACATCAACCTGACTGACCAGCAGTCCTACGAGCAACATCAACCTGACTGACCAGCAGTCCTACGAGCAACATCAACCTGACTGACCAGCAGTCCTACGAGCAACATCAACCTGACTGACCAGCAGTCCTACGAGCAACATCAACCTGACTGACCAGCAGTCCTACGAGCAACATCAACCTGACTGACCAGCAGTCCTACGAGCAACATCAACCTGACTGACCAGCAGTCCTACGAGCAACATCAACCTGACTGACCAGCAGTCCTACGAGCAACATCAACCTGACTGACCAGCAGTCCTACGAGCAACATCAACCTGACTGACCAGGCAGTCCTACGAGCAACATCAACCTGACTGACCAGCAGTCCTACGAGCAACATCAACCTGACTGACCAGCAGTCCTACGAGCAACATCAACCTGACTGACCAGCAGTCCTACGAGCAAATCAACCTGACTGACCAGCAGTCCTACGAGCAACATCAACCTGACTGACCAGGCAGTCCTACGAGCAACATCAACCTGACTGACCAGCAGTCCTACGAGCAACATCAACCTGACTGACCAGGCAGTCCTACGAGCAACATCAACCTGACTGCCCAGCAGTCCTACGAGCAACATCAACCTGACTGACCAGGCAGACCTACGAACAACATCAACCTGACTGACCAGGCAGTCCTACGAGCAACATCAACCTGACTGACCAGCAGTCCTACGAGCAACATCAACCTGACTGACCAGCAGTCCTACGAGCAACATCAACCTGACTGACCAGCAGTCCTACGAGCAACATCAACCTGACTGACCAGCAGTCCTACGAGCAACATCAACCTGACTGACCAGCAGTCCTACGAGCAACATCAACCTGACTGACCAGGCAGTCCTACGAGCAACATCAACCTGACTGACCAGCAGTCCTACGAGCAACATCAACCTGACTGACCAGGCAGTCCTACGAGCAACATCAACCTGACTGCCCAGCAGTCCTACGAGCAACATCAACCTGACTGACCAGGCAGACCTACGAGCAACATCAACCTGACTGACCAGGCAGTCTTACGAGCAACATCAACCTGACTGACCAGCAGTCCTACGAGCAACATCAACCTGACTGACCAGCAGTCCTACGAGCAACATCAACCTGACTGACCAGGCAGACCTACGAGCAACATCAACCTGACTGACCAGGCAGACCTACGAGCAACATCAACCTGACTGACCAGGCAGACCTACGAGCAACATCAACCTGACTGACCAGGCAGTCCTACGATCAACATCAACCTGACTGACCAGCAGTCCTACGAGCAACATCAACCTGACTGACCAGGCAGTCCTACGAGCAACATCAACCTGACTGACCAGGCAGTCCTACGAGCAACATCACCCTGACTGACCAGGCAGTCCTACGAGCAACATCAACCTGACTGACCAGCAGTCCTACGAGCAACATCAACCTGACTGACCAGGCAGACCTACGAGCAACATCAACCTGATTGACCAGGCAGTCCTACGAGCAACATCAACCTGACTGACCAGCAGTCCTACGAGCAACATCAACCTGACTGACCAGCAGTCCTACGAGCAACATCAACCTGACTGACCAGGCAGACCTACGAGCAACATCAACCTGATTGACCAGGCAGTCCTACGAGCAACATCAACCTGACTGACCAGGCAGTCCTACGAGCAACATCAACATGGCTGACTAGGCAGTCCTATGAGCAACATCAACCTGACTGACAAGGCAGTCCTACGAGCAACATCAACCTGACTGACAAGGCAGTCCTACGCGCAACATCAACCTGGTTGACCAGGCAGCCCTACGAGCAACATCAACATGACTGACCAGGCAGTCCTACGAGCAACATCAACATGGCTGACCAGGCAGTCCTACGAGCAACATCAACCTGACTGACAAGGCAGTCCTACGAGCAACATCAATCAAACTGACCAGACAGTCAACTATTATTCTTGATAAGAGACCGAGCTGCGGGGACCATTCTTCCTGGAACCATCAACTGGTTAACTGCAGGTAATATTACAATTATTGTGCCTAATTTAACAATATTATTTCTAGCTAAAGTTGTTATGTTTTGTGAGTGAATATTCCTTGTCGATTTCCTTTGTATCTGGTAAGTGAGTGACTGACCTCAGCGTTCAGATGCTCGATGAGGTGCAGGTGAAGGTGGGATTCTAAGATGCAGCGACCCGTCACCAGGTTCTCATACTTCACCTGTAAACATAAGCAACAACTCAGACGAGTCTCTGCTTCATAATTATCGTGAGTTATTACAGTACAGAGAACATGTATGTTAACGTCTACTCATTGGCAAGTTAATGGGATTTGGATCCTATCGACTACACGAGAACCATTTAAATATTACATGTAAATGTTCACCAACAGTCAAGAATATTTTTATCCCTACAGTAGAGATTAAAATACAGTAAACCTCAGCATATATACAGTGAGAGATAAAACTCACGGCGTATATATTATACCTCTAACCATTATACGGGCAACTGTAAAACAATACACGGTACATACATAATATAAAAATACTTGCTCTGAATTAATACACACGTTTGATAAATTTTTTACACATTATTATAAAAAAAAGCGCGTCGGGCGACAGCTTATACATTGATGTCAAAATGTATAACTAGTAGGAAAGTGGACACTAAATTTTGTAACAGATCACAGTTCACTTCCACAAGACACTGTGCTGGCACCTTCACTGTCTCATTCTATCAGATATATACAAGAACAAAAACCACAGCATCCTGTCATCTTTTGTGGATGATACCCACAATAGATGAAATTTGCTTCTATAGATGCTGAATAAACAGCGATCAGATGTCAACAAAATCTTGCATTGGACAAAGATGACATACTGTATCTTCTTTAATGAGGGAACAGGTAAAGTATCTAGGAATATTGGTAGAAGACAACTTTACCTTCAGAGAGCACGTAGCTCAAATCATACGGCAAAGGAAGACAACACTTAACCATATAGAAAGAATATGTTCATGCCCCTTGCAACCTCGACACCTGACATTTCCCACGCCCTTTGTATCAGCTATATCCAAGGAATTTGCAAAAACTAGACTTTCGATCTGCGAAACTAATGGAAAGTTAAAGTAAGAGTATGTATATGTGTATGCATTCACCTGCGTTTCTTCCCCGGGAATAAGCTCCAGCTCGTGAGCTTCACCTATTAATCAATACTCTACTCCCTTCCAACTTTAGTCATATTCACTGCATACCTGAACCAGCGTACCAGGTTGGTAGCACTTACCTCGCACAGTCAAACAGCAACACAGTTGACCCCGAGAAGACGCACCAACACAATGGAAGTCACATTCATGAAGGTAAATTGCCCGGGAAGAGAGATTAAATAATCGTGATCATTTAGTGGGTGTTGTCGAGGCGATACCTCTCAGTTATCCTTATGTTGTCTTGTTAGTGCTTAGTAAATATTTTCCTCAAGTCTCTCCGCAAGGTATCTGCGCATATTTATCAGTGTTTATTTAAGTCATGTTTTTGATCTCAAAGTGCGCTTGGACTGCTACCATAATATTATTATTATTATAATCAAAAAGAAGCTCTAAGCCACAAGGGCTATACAGCTGCTACCATAATAGCCGTCTCCAAGTCTTTAAACCTAACAAACCAACTCATTCTTGTATTCACCTAATTGTCTACAATAAATTGATGTTAATTCTTGGTTAGATGGTAATGTTAATTCTTGAGAATATTGTTAATTCCTGGGAAGACTGTTAATTCCTGGAAAGACTTTATGTTAATTCCTGGAAAGACTGTTATGTTAATTCTTGGGAAGACTGTTATGTTAATTCTTGGGAAGACTGTTATGTTAATTCTTGGGAAGACTGTTATGTTAATTCTTGGGAAGACTGTTATGTTAATTCTTGGGAAGACTTATTTTAATTTCTAGGAACAATGTTATGTTAATTCCTGGAAGACATGCTAAGTCTCGGGACGATTGTTATATTAGCTTTGGGGAAGATTACATTAATTTCTAAGATTATTAATTTCTGGGAAAATTATATGATAAAGCACTAAACCCGGCTGGATTATACTTTATTTCTGGGCAGAAAAATCGCAAGCCATGGAATAGGATACAATAACGGGGCGCGACAATTTTCTCACAAGACGTGGTGGACCTGGACAACCACAAACCTTTGTTTTCTCTATTCTTTTTTGTATAAGATGATGAAACTACTGTATGGCGAAACATTTCTACAATAAAGACACCCTCTACAATAAAGACACCCAAGTGTTGCCCATGTGTCTAATTTATTAACTCGTCTGTTCTCTGATGTACCATTTATGTACAACCTTTGCTATCACAAATATGCTCGGCATTTTACAAAAGCCTATAGCGACACGCGCCGTGTTTAAGGCAGTTCACCTGTCAAAACCGCGTCAAACAATCACGTTACTAATAACGGTAGAAATGCCAACAAAATTTTAAGTAAATGGACACCGCTGTAACTAATGTGACATATTACTGTGGCAACGTTTCGCTCCCCAGGAGCTTTGTAAAGCCGTTATGACTTTACAAAGCTCCCGGAGAGTTCGCGGCAAGTGAGTCGTAAAACTCCAGGCAAAGCGTAAGCCACTGAGCCAGCTGGCTACCGTGGTTTGTTTGCAATCGTGTCATCACCATTTCGTGAGTCATGATGACGGCTTTGAGAGGATTAAAGTTCGTCACGGCCACGATGGCGGGAGATTCATCTGTAAAAACTTGCATTTGTGATCACAGTGGAACCATGCTAACCTACCTATGGTGTGTAAATATACCTAGTTGGATTAATGTTATTGTAGCCAACTGGCCCAGTGGCTTAAGCGCTAGTCTGGAGTTTTTTTTTATATTTTATTTATTTAAAACAATACAATACATTAAATAAACAAAGTATCACATTTCATTTCATTCACAGAAAGTATAATTACCATTATCAACATATACGCTAGAACGGTTAACTTTGTGGTGACATAAATTGTCGCCCGTCCACTATGCATTATGTACCTAGCCTAAGGTAAAACAAAATTACACAAATTCTACGTTACATTAATCAAATACATATTATATACATTATTATAAACAAAGAGAAACGTTACATATATAATATGCATTAGTGTTTGATTTTATGTCATTAAAACCTTTATACGGACATTATTATTATTAAAGATTAGCCGGTATTCTCCCGGCCCGGGCCTTTTCCAAGTGGTGGCCCGGCCTTGGCTTCCTCTCTAGGGAGTGTCTGAGACCTAAGTCTCCCATGGGAGGAGGCACAAGTACCTCCTCATCTTTGGGACTAACTGTCCCCAGGCCTAGCCACAAGGTAGGCCTCTCTGGTCTGCCATCCCCGCCCCAAGGGGGCAAATGGGAATGACAAGTCTTATGAGCTAAAAGCTCGGGCTCAGGCACCTACCCTACCCTAGAAGGGTTAGGCATGGTATCGATCGTACATACGGACATTGTACATAAACAAGTGCATATATAACAAATTATCCAAATACAAACGATATGTAATGATTCCGGTACTCAATCTACTGGATTACTGCAATGATACAAAACATATTCAATAAAATGGTATAAAATACCGACAGGTTGTTAGGTAAGACACATATGCAACAGTTAGGTATCTTTATTTCGAAACGTTTCGCCTACACAGTAGGCTTCTTCAGTCGAGTACAGCAAAGTTGATAGAAGCAGAAGAGACTTGAAGACGATGTAATCAGTCCATCACCCTTGAAGTTTTGAGGTGGTCAGTCCCTCAGTCTGGAGAAGAGTATTGTTCCATAGTCTGAAACAATATGGAGTTCTTCTTCTTCTTCTGACGATGACCAGAGCTTTGGTAAGATGGGTAAGGAAGAAGGACGGGTAAGGATGGAAATATTGGAAAAGGGTGGGAGGGGGGAGAGAGGTAGGATATAAAAGGTAAGTGGCCCAAATACTTTGGTGTAATTTAAAAAGTGTATGTGAAATGATAAGATATTCTTTAAGGGGTATAATACTAACCCATCAGAGTCACATAGATGTAACAGATATATAAGTACATGACTCTGAATTGGTAGTAATTATACAAGTTGCAATTTTTTTTTTTTTTTTTTTTTTTCGATTGCAAAACGGTATTTATCCCGAAATGAAGGAAATAATTTTCTGGCCGTTTTGGAATTACGTGACAATGGCTTCTTACAGGTGGTGTAGCCATGGTAAATAGCAAAAATTTTTACATTAGATTGTTTAAAGATGTCTCCCTAATTTGGGGGCGATGTTTTTTGTTACATAAAAGGGGTTTGGTGTACCCAATTTCTTCATCGGGAGGTTCCCTAAATATCAGGGTCGGGGTAATCATCTTTATGTATAAACGACGGACCCTCTGGGGGAGAGTCATTCTTTGAGCCCTGTGGGGAGTATTGTTTTAAAAACCCTGGTATTTACCATTGTAAGGATGTTCTCTATTTCAGTTATTTTTGATTGAAAAAGTTGTTTCTTTTTTAGAGTGTCGGGGGTAATTTTGGCAGTATATTTGTTTATGTGTAAAATTCCCAGTTTAACTCTGTATCTCCCCGGTATGGGTAATGAAGCAAGGTTATCTGGACCCTTTTAGCCGTAGCATGTTGGTCTTGTTGTTAATGACATTGGGAAAAAGGGGTATTAGTTTTGGGTCTTTTTATCATTTTATACAGATGTTTTTTGACAGTTGGGGGGCTTGATTGAATCGAAAGAGATGCTAAGACCGGTTTTTGGCTTGTTGATTTTTTGTTACTGAGATTTTTGAGTGGAGCAGCCTGTCTTTTCATACCCCAAAATCTTGTTGGGGTTTTCTAAGGGGTACAGGTGTCCCTTGAGGGGAGATACCCCCTTTATCTTAAATTTTTGATGCAAAACTCCTATCGTGCAAACAAGGACCTTGTCGGATTAGTCGTAATTTCTCCATTTCTTTTCCCAATTAGTTTTCTACGAAGTTAATATTCATTTTTTTTGCGACTCTTCATATTTGATTTTCCTTTTTCCGGGATTTGATGAACGACATGAATAAAATCATCTGAAAAACTGTGTTTTGAGATGGTTGGGAAGGTTTCACGTAAATGTTGAACAGAATTGGACTTAGACAAGAACCTTGGGGGGACCCAGCTGTCGGTAAAAAAGGCTCTGTCGACCTCCCCTAAAAGGTGGGAATGATTTTTCTTGAGTTAAGAAATTA